CTCCCCGTCCCTTTCTTTTCCTACATGTCAAGTCCTGAGTTCCTTGACCTGCTTCCTGCATCCAAACTGGTTTGTTGCTCTAGTCTCCCCCTCCTCGCAATTCCTGTCCTATTCTTGGACTTTTTAGGAAATCTGATTGCCACTTTAGAAAGACTCTCTGGGACAACTGTGTTTTGATGAACTGTTTGTTATTTTAGTGGCTGCACATTCAGCCAACTAAGTATTTTCTAAAATGCACATAACGCAGGCTTTTCCAAGTGCACTGCTCCAGAGGGTCCCACCCACCAAGCAGAGCCCACGGAGGACCCTTCATGGATTACAATAAACCTGTTCACCGGGAAAGAGGGAAGAAAATAAAAATGCTGTTTTATTGGAGAACCCAAATGATTTAAAAATAAATATAAGGAAACTATAGCTCCCTAATGTAAGCTTGACTGTGAAAGGCAAACACCATAAAAATGTGGTCTGTTTCAGGTGTTGTGGAAACAAATGCACTTTCAGGGTTTGGGGAGCTGCTCCAAACTGGGCCAGGGTTGAGATAATCTTGCGTTGGAAAGGTTGTGTAGCACCTTCTTCCCTTTCTCAACCTTTTCTATCTTGCAGAAATGTTGAGGCTGTAATGTTGGTTCTGATAAACAGTTAAGCAGTGGTTTCACCATGTATTTAAATAATTTTAAATTTGAAAACATTAGACAAAACCCACAGTGGTTTTCCTTTTCACTGTCTATGAGGGAACTGATAGTAAAAAAAAAAAAACAAACTGTGTAAAGAATTTTAGCCCTGGCCAGCGTGGGTTACTGGGTAGAGAGTTGTCCTGCAAAGCCAAAGGTCACAAGTTCAATTCCCCGTCAGGGCACATGCCTGGGCCTCCTCCCCAGTTGGGGCACATACGAGAAGCAACCAACTGATGTTTCTCTTACACGTAGATGTTTCTCTTTCTCTTTGTCCCTATCTTCCCTTCTCTCTAAAAATAAAAATAAATAAAATCTTTTAAAAAAGAATTTTAATTACATACAATGACAACCTTCAATATTTTCTAAGCATTCCCCGTGGCCAGCACTGAGCCAGGAACACCATGGGCCTTGTGCTCACAGGGCGTCCATCCCAGAGCACACAGAATTGACGAGCAGCTGGAATAAAGCCCAAAAAAGCTGTGCTGGGTCAAGACCATGGCTCTAGGCAAGTTCATGGCAGGGGGCTGCCACAGGAAGTAACATCCTCAGGGCAAATGGAAATCACAGGCTTCCTAGAAGTTGAATGGTTTTAGCTTCACTACTTAATACTTGGATCAGCAAAGACCAACACAGAATACAACCTACTCCTTTGTTCCACTCAAGCTAGAAGCAGTTTCCCAACACCAGGAAACCACCAAAATAGCAACACTTGCTTCAAAACATTTGAAAGGAGGTTTTCGACAATAAAAGTTATCAATAGCATATTTTCTGAACAGAAGCAAACTGGCAACCTTTTTCATTTTTTCCTTTCTTCTCTAAGACGCTGGCATCTGTTTTTGCTCTGTTTGCTAAGGTTTTCATTAGAAAAAATACAATGCATACAACTTCTCTATGATTAAAACATACTGCCTTTTGTGAGTGATGAATTCAGACAAGTAAAGTAACTCTGTCTTTATTTTCCATCATAGTTGGTCATAAATCCTGCAACCTAGAAGTGATAATGTGCTTTGGCTTCATGTAATTGTGCTGGCTGGGGCTCTGGATGTTCATGTCTCCAGTTTTATTGTGCCGGGACAACAGACAACTCTTCCAAGTTGCTGATGGAGATGTTGGCGGTGGCCCAGCTCTCTAGGGCGATGATATTTGAATTGCTTTCTTTAAGGGATTGCTTTCCTCCAGCCAGTGATTTCTCCCATAGCTCTGTGTCCACCCTTTCAAAGATCATAAAGAATGGAGAAATATTTCCTTTCTTTACTACTTAATAGAGGGAGGTGGGCATGTTGAGGTTGAAAGCTTACAAGAAAATAAGTGAGTCACCTTAAGTGCAGACGGCTGCCTGCCCTCCTTCCTCCCTCCATTCCTCTCTTTCATCCTTCCTCCCTCCCTTCTTCCTTTCCTTCCTTCCTCCTTCCCCTCCCTCCCACCTGCATTTATGAACTACCTTATATGCCCTGCACTATGCTGGGTGTCATGGAAGTCCTAGAGGGGTTTCGCGGTCTGGCAACAAAGAGACAACTATAACTGGAGATTGGGGAAGAGTATCCGCATCGTTAGGGTAACATTAACTGCTATAACAATAAACTTCAAAAAATTGGCTTAACACAATAAAAGTGTATTTCTCACTCAGATAACAATCCAAAACAGATGTTCCTTATCTGTGGAATAAAGGATTCAGATTTCTATCTCGAGGCTCGGCCTTGCTCTAGATCTTCAGAATCGTTCCCAGTATCAGAGAGAGAGGAGAGGCCACATCCCCGACTTAGAAACGCCACTCCTTCTCATCTCCACGCTGAAAGCCTGTCACGTGACCGCAGCTGGACGCGAAAGAGACTGGGCGGCACTGTCCCAGCCGGGCAGCCGCATTCCCACAGTATGGAGGGAAGCACAAAGTTTAGTGGGCAGTTAGTCACACGGAGAATATGAAAGAATTTTTTGTTTCAAAAAGTTCATCTCGAGATGGTGAGACATCATCTAAGGAAAAGTCCCTTGAGCATACTTTCTAGCATGAGCTAGGAACAGGACAGAAAGATTCGAGAATCTAAAGGCTGAGTTGCAAGCGGGTCTCACCGCCTGTTTCTCAGGCAGGAAAACACAGCTCCTCTCTGCCACTCGCTCAGAAGAAGGGGAAGGTGTCGTTTCCGAATCCCCCACTGCAGCGTGATTGGGCTCATTTTCTCCCCACAACCCTTTTTTCCTGAAGGGATCATAAAATTGAAGTCTAAAACAAATGCAGTTCTTCAGGCAGCAGGTTTGGCTGCCCTTTGAGATACCGAATGCACGGCGCTCCGGGGAATGGGCGCCACCTTGCAGGCAGGGCCTCGAGCCGCTGCTTGCGCTGGTCGGGTTGTTGGCTCCCCGGCTTTTTTGCCTGAATCCCCTCCATTCTTCTCGCAGCCTCAGTGAGCACAGTTTCTTGTCGTCCTAATTGTAGTGGGGGATAAAATGAACGGAATTTTTCCTTAATTCAGTAGTGAAACTTTCCAGTGGTGAAGCACTTTGAAACACGAACTGATTAATAAACACAAGTCTCTTTCAAAGCAGTCAGGGCCGCGTTCTCGTTGCTCACAGCTGAGAAGGCTGCAGTTAAGACGGTTGGCCCCGGGCTGCGCACCTGGCCTGGGGGGGACTTGGAGGCACCAGCCCCGCATTCTCGGATGGCGTGTGGCCTCTCTCGGGAATGATTAGTTTTTATACGGGTTGTAGTTAATGGGACTTCCTGCACGACTCTACGGTGCCCCTGGCACTGGCTATGCAATTACTAATGTTCTTGTCACAGACTGAGTGACCCAGTCAAGAGAAGAGAGGAAAAGTGACTCACTGGATGGCCCTGCATAACCTTCTAGAGATTGAAGAAATCTTTTGCAATCCTCAGCACTGTGCTAAACTGAGAACTAGAAAGACGAGAAGGATTTGTTTGTACCTTCATGGCACTCAGACCTCGGGGCCAAGGTTCTTAACTGCCCTTGCGTAGAGAGAGAAATTGAGACCTGGAGACGGCTGCCTTTCCAGAGGGGAGTCACTGGCAGGACCTGCGTCCTGGTATCTCGGTGCTGCCTCGGCTCCCAGAATGACACGATGCCACATACACACTGCGACAGCTTCGGTATGAAAAAAAATTATCCCAAAATGCAATGGTTTCAATAAGAAAAAAAGTATCCCAAGTGAGGTTATGGGTGAAGGTTTGCCTTGACCACGCGTTTCATAACAGACTAAGTGGTTGGGAATGGTACCACAGATTCATAATCACAAACTGGCCCTCGTAGTGGTGAAATCTGTAAGCAACCATGAGGCCCCAAGTGTCCTGGCTGCATGCACAAGGATAACAGTTGTATTTTGAAGATTCTATCAGAGTTGGGTTGTGAGATTCAGGTCTAGCACTCCACACTGCTGGCTGTCAGTATAAGAGAAATACTTAGGACATAACATAAACTTCGGAAGAATTTTTGTTTCTGACTTCTTAAAGAAGTGTATGCTATTTATATAAGTCATGGAATTAATAGTCACGCATAAGCCCAGGCAGGGCATTTTGAGTTCATTTTCATTTGTGACCACAGTGCGATTTGATGTTATAAAACCACACGTTCCATGTGAGAGCCACGGGCCCCACGTGGCTGGTAGGAATTGAAATGTGTTCTAAGTGTAAAACACATGCTTCATTTTGAAATCTTAATGTGAAAACAAGATTTCAAAAATCTCATTTTTTATGTTGATTGCATGTTGAAATGATAATATTCTGGATATACTGGATTAAATACAACACATTATTAACATTTAATTTCACCTGTACTTACTTTCATAATGTGGTTACTAGAAAATTTAAAATTCCATATGTGGATCACAAATTTATATTTTAAAATGCTTTTACAGAATCCGAGCTCTTTCAGAGTCTCCTAAGTATGAAAGCTGATTCAGCCCCTGAGTCCCCTAGACCACCAAAAGCCCCTGCAGTTAGTGACAGCTTCCTTTAGAATCAACAGGACATCGATGTTCAAGCAAAAGAATGTTTCCTGAGTTTTGAATTTGTCTTCATTCTTTTATTTCCTAATATTAGAACCTATCTGAAAAAAATACTTTTTATACCATCTCCTCCTCCAACCTGGTGCTGGGCTAACTCCTGCTTATCTTTCAAGATTCACTCCACATCACCACCTCTCGGAAGCCCTCCCTCCCTCTGTAGTCTCTAGTGGCCCAGAGATGTGGTAGGTGCTGCTATTCTGTCAGGAGCCAGACTGTCGTCACTGGCTTGACTCTTTAACCCATTTCTATGAATTCCTTAAGGTCAGAGATTGTCCTTCATTTTTATATTTTTAATACCTAGCTCCATGTCCAGAAACATAACACAAATATTTATTGAATAACTGTTTAATTGAACAATGGATGAATAAAAATAATTCATTAGCTGACATTGTTATTTCAGAATTATTGGAAAGAGTAGCTTTTACATATGATTGTTAGCGCCCCAAAGTTAGGTTACTTCACAGGACTGTGGGGGAAACCCTTTCTCATTAGAATCATCACATTCTGTTCACTGCAGTTCACCGTAGGGACTCCCCACTTCAGGCAGGAGCACCCCGGAACGAAGTTACTGAATAAGGACTGCCGTGTGGAAATTATACAGGTAACTGCTCACTTGCCTTTGTATATCATAAACCAACTAAGCTGATGGCAGAGGGGATATTACCAACCGATATAAGGCATTCACTGGGGTTTGAGAGGGTGCCCACAGAAAAACTAACCTATTGTATTTGGGTATCATGTAATTTATTGCTCAAACACTTTGAGAGATAATGGGAGTGTTATAATATTTATTCTGGCTCAAAAAGCATAGAACAGACTGTTAAGAACAATCAGGTAGTGTGTTAACCCTAATTATATTGAGTAAGAACCATTTTTCATGGCAAGTGGCCTGTGGTACAGATGGGACAGGTGGGATGACCGCGCGGGTCTTCGGGACGGAAGGGACCCTCATGCTGAGTGGAGGACCTGAGAGGTGAGACCGGCAATCCCACATTCTGGCTCTCTCTCCCGGCAGCCCGACTACACCCTCTAGAGTGGATAGAACTTTTCAGCAGGTCCCCTCCAGATGGAGCAACTGCAAGGGCTCTGAGAATAGAATTCCTATCACCTGCTCATCAGCTCATAAAAAAAATGAGTGAACAAAACCAGAAAGGAATCGGCCCTGCCAGTTCCTGACTGTTGTCAGTTGCGGGGACGTTGCTTCTTTGACAAACGCTTAACAAACCAACACCTGCCTCTGTGCTCCTCGTGTGCTGCTGGGCAGAGGCTGGGCAGAGGGCTGAGCTGCAGCACCATGGGCCCGTCATCATTTCCAACTCGTTCCTCCCAGCCTTGGACAAAAACTGAAGCCTACGTTATATGTGCTGGACATTAGTGCTTTCAATTAAAACCACTGCATGCACTAACATTATGTGCGTTTGAGAGATGAAGAAACTGAGGCTTGGCGATATTTGGAGATCTGCCTGGAGAGAGAATCATGGAGGAGATTTCTGAGGCCCAGTCTGGGCCACTTCCAGTCCCACTGCAACACTTGCTTCATGGCAACAGCCCATGAAGACGGCACTGCCTTCACCGGACTCACATATAAACTTGAATCTTTCCAAAGAAATAAAGTGCGATTTCTGCTCGGCCTCCTGCAGGTGTGGTTACCTGGCACCACTCCTGAGGCCAGCTCTCTCTGGGTGACTGTGACTCTGCACCTGAGAACTCCAGCAGGTCCAGCGGCGGCCCATGTTGCCTGAGAGCTCAGTGGACGCCGGCTGGCATTATTTAAGTTTTCATTCAAAATCTCCTTTAGGGTGACTTCTGAGCTCCTGAAGTGCCTGTTCAAGAAGATCAACAAATGGCCAAAGACAGATTTTTCAGCCAGAGGAAAGACTTATTACCTTAGCCCCGGTCTAATGAAAACAGAGGTGAAATACCAACCTGCACTAGATAAACAGCACACCAAGCCATCCATCACACTCAGCCACACTCGGCAGAACACCCTAACTGATGTCACCTGACTTCCCTGCTTCACTCAGATGGGTATTCACAGCATGACAGAGCTGGGGCTGGGGCCTTTTCCCACCAGCTTCTGTCCCAATAAAGACCTGGCCAGGAATCCTTTAAGCCAGGGGTCCCCAACTTCCGGCCCAAAGATCAGTGCCAGTCCAGGCCTGTTAGGAACCGCATCGCCCAGCAGGAGTTGAGCTCGAATGCAATGCACTTGAATCATCCCCAAACCATGTTCCCTGCCCCCCTCTTCCCCTAACTCCACCTCCTGCCTCTGTAGAAAAATCCTCTTCCACGAAACTGGTCCCTGGTGCCAAAAAGGTTGGGGACTGCTGCTTTGGGCCATTCCCTCACCCAGTCTGAATTCCCTTTCCTCCACAGCCACAGACAGCAATAGCTTCTGAGGCCATTGCTCAACACCTCTCACCTGCGTGCTCCACACCGGCGTTCCCTTTCAGGACACAGTTTCTGCACTGGGTCTGCTAAGCTCTCCAATGGCAACTGTTTCTCAGGACCAAAGAGCTGTTAGCTGGCATATCAGTTCTTCCAGTATAAGCCTGCCCACCATATGACAGGCGCCCTGGGTACAGAGAGGCAAGGTCTGGTCCTTTAGGAGCTCAGTCTGGGAAAGATAGAAATCTTACATGTGCATAGATATTATTTTGTTTTTTCATATATCTCTCATTCTACCTGAACAATCTCATATACAGTAGAGAAAGTAAACCCATTTGCAAGAAAAGGAAGCTATAGGGGGTAGGTAGTGCATGAAATGGGTGAAGGGGGTCAAAAGGTACAAATTTCCAGATACAGAATCAGCCGTGGGGATGCAATGGACCAGCATGCTGACCACAGTTAACAACACTGTGGTGGATATTTGAACGTTGCTAAGAGGGTAGATCTCATCAGAAGAAAGAAATTATAACTGTGTGGTGATGAGTGTTAACTAGAGTTATTGTGGTGATCCTTCCAAAATACATACATGTACATCTGAAGCTAATATAGTGTTATATGTCAGTTATATCATAAAATAGAGGAATCTATGACTTAGATATATGATATCACTCATAGATAGAAGGAAATTAGAATCCTGAATATTTAATTAGACTTCAGTTTACCAACTTCAGCTCCATGATTTCCCCTACTCTGAGACTTCTTTGATGGTTTTCGGACTTTCTCTTGTCTTCCAAAAATGTAAAAATCACCTCTCAGAAAAATAAAATTCACTGTGGTCCTCACTGGCTGGTAGCGATGTTGACATCCTGGACCCAAACCATGGAGTAAAATTCTCAAAGAAGGGACCATATTTACATCCCCTAGGACCGGGTTTTGCAAGATGCGCACCAACTGTGGCGCCTGCTCCGCGCGGGGCCGGGACTTGGCAGCGTCAACGAGAGAGCGCAGCGCGCATTTCGTTCCCAAAGGCGTTTTGAGGAACACGTTCAAAGAGCTTTAGCACGTTGTAAAGCTGTGTGGATGTCTATTGATCTCTGAAATAAGGAATCATAATAGAAACAAAATTTAATATTAAATACACTTGTGGAATGTTTATGATTTTATAAGCATGGAGCATATGGTATCTTGTTTAATGCTCGCAGCCGTCCCCTGGTGTCTCAGTGAGCCCAGTTACCCAGATGAAGAAATAAGAGTGGCAGAGCTATTATTTGGACCGAAGTCTTCCAAGGACAGTCGGAGACGGTCAGAGGAAACAGATGCACCAATGAGAAGGCTGACCGCCCACAGGGGAGGATACCCCTTCCCCGAGCGCAGAATACTTTCTTGGTATCACGTTATCTGCGAAGCTCTGCCATTGTTCAGCAACCTGCAAGGGGAGAGTGGAGGGTACTGCGAATGTTCCATGCAAACCGTGGTGAGGCCAGGTGACACTTCATGTCACACACAAACCCCACACACACACACGCCTGATGACGGGAGTGATTCCCCTCCTGGCCTCCGTCACCACCTCTCTACACAGGCAGTTCCAGACAGATCACCCAGCTCTGCCCCTCTGCCTACTTTCGTCCTGGTACACCTCATCTGAGGGTACATCCTTTCTTTAGGGTGGGTCATGCTGTGTTCCCAGAGCAGGCATATTTTGCAAATTAGTTCCTTGGGATGCTAATGAGTATGACTCTCGGGTGGGTGATGAAGTTTCCTGTTTTAAAAAACAAAATGCGTGTCCTGGCCGAGTGGCTCAATTGTTTGGAGCAGTCATACTGCGCACCAAAAAGTGGCAGGTGAGATCCCTGGCCAGGGCACATACCTAGGTTGTAGGTTCAATTCCCAGTCAGGGTGTGTACAGGAGCCAATGAATTGATGTTTCTCTCTCTCTCTCCCCCAAATAATAAACACATCCTTAGGTGAGGATTTAAACAAACAAAACCAAAATGTTTAAGAGAAATGCAAATGTGAAAATGCGTGACAGGCACAGTGGCTACCAAAGACGGCCCCAGACCGACTGGAGAGGCACCTGGCAGGCCTCGTCTCCGAGGATGCTGTTCTCTGTCACTGCTTTCCCTAAAGGGCGATGAAGCACGCTGTCTCCTTCAAATACGCGTTTATTTACCTAGCTTATTGCTCAGAGGTCAACCACTTGCCCGTTTTCCAAGTCTCTGAGAGACCTCTCACTGTCACCTCCAAGTACCATGTGCCATTTATTTGTTTCCATTGCTCATAACACTTACACTTCGTAGATGAACAAACTTTCAAGCAGTAAGTTCATTTTACTGGAACCGTGTCTAACACTATTAGCATCTCACCCACAGTGGCTGTTCCATAAATGTCAAATGATAAGAAGAGCTGGGATTTGGGACTTTTCTTCCGTGGTTGTGAATTCTGGAAGTAATCCAGCTGTCAAGCCAAAGACAAACGTCACCTGTGCAGCCTCGGATCCATCATGCGCATGAAGTGGAAAGATAAGGTTACACCCAGAGGTGCTGAGACATGGGAAAACGAACCAACCCAAGGGGCGCGTCAATTAAAGCAGAACGCTGCCAGCAGAGCTTATCAGCAAGGGACCTCAGACTCCCCAAATGGGTATAGTTCAAGATCAAACCTGGCCAGCCCTTACCCGTGGCGGAGGGGCACTCGAGACCCTGTGCAAAGCACCATCTGAACTTTGCTGTCACCGGCCCAAAGGCCTGCGATGGACTTTGATCTTGTAGCTCTAATTGCCACAGGATTTGAGACAGAACCAAGGCCTGAGCACCTTCACAGTGACAAAGGTGGACATCAGAGGAAAGCAAGGCCGGCCCCAAACCTCAATCACATGCTAAGGACACCGCACTATGTCGAGAGGGACTCAGCACCTCGCAACATGTGCTTTGAGCCTCGGGGTGGAACAGAGGCATCGGTATCTTCCTCAGAGATGTTCTGTCTTTCCCCCCGGCCCCTCCTGCTACGAAGTTCCCACGCAGCAACAGCTCTGTGGGGGAATGTCTATCTCCCTGGCGAACTTACACTCCCTGCGGCGTCACGTGCTGTGGCAGTCGGAGAACCGCTGTGTGACCTACACGCTGGACACACACTACAAAGACAGCTTTTCTTTGTTATATGGAGCCGAAACTAAGCCCAAGTCTCGAAAAGCTGTTCTCATGACCAGGGTTTGCCAATTTTGAAAAGTGACATGGTGTGTATCCAGCCCTTACTTCCTGTGTACCTTTTTCTTAGGAGGCTCTGTTCATGGAGTGGACAGCTGGCAGCCAAGTGTTGAGAGAAGGAAAGCCGGTGTGCACTGCGCCGACGGGGCGAGGGCGCCCGCCAGTCGTGCTGAGTGACATTCCGCACTGTCGACCTGGGCCAGACAGCCCGTGCACAGCGGCCTGCGTGGGTCTGCAGCCATGGGGAGGCATTTCGAAGAAGGGATTCCTCCTGTCTGCCCGCTCCTCCTGGTATGTCTGAAACTCTTTTGCCGTGCACAGGGCACCTGTGTACTTCATTAATTACAGTGCTGAGTGCTGCCTGGTGAAACAGTTACTTGAAATGCTAATTATGCCACAGCAGCCAAAGAATAAGGGCCCCGAAGAACTGAATCAAAACAACAACGAAACCACAACTATTTTCTCTGCTGTTATTGTTAGATGATCATGCACTGCCCTGCCTTTCCTATGAAGGGGCATTTAAAGCAAAACTCTTCGGTAACTGAGGGTACCAACTTTCATATCTTTCACCTCCACACATGACTATCCAGCAAAGGCATGAACTGGGGTCACGCGTTCAACACGTCACACGTGACTCGGCATTTTCCACAAGACCCCCGGGGTGTTTGATTGCACTGGTATCCTTTTATTCAACAAGCTTAGGATACTGAGCTTTGTTGCACATGTTGAATTACTAGTATTATTTTAAATCATTAAAATTGTCATTTAAAATAACTTTTAAAGCAGAAAAGGACACAGCCTAGTTCCTTTAGGTCTCCCAATCCAAAGTGCACATATTAAATAATAATAAACGACAGGCCTACACCTGCTTATTTATGTGCGTGACTGCTGTTCCTCCCTCACTGCCCTCCTCCGCTCCGGCTCCGGCTCCCTGACCTCTGCGTGCTCCAGGGACACACCAGTCTGGGCACGCGCACCTGCCGTTTCCTCAGTCCACCTGCTCCTCCCCAGCACCTGCACAGCTCGTCTGGGCGCTTCCTCTGGGTGTTTGTTCAAAGGTCCCCCTTACCGAGGCCTCCCCTCTCCGTCCTGCATAAAGCCGCCCCCTCACCCTGTACCCAGCACTTTCTGTCGTCCTTCCAGGCCTTATATTTCTCCTAAGCATTTACTCTTAGACTATAAATATACGCATACTATGTGTTCTGTTTTCAGCTACTTTTAGTGTCTGCCTCTCCAGGCAGAATGTAAGGACAGAGAGTTTTTGCTTGTTTTGCTTCCTTTTGCAATAGGGTCTGGCACATGGCGTTTAACAGGAATTTTTGAATGAATAAATAGGGCCAGGTTTTATGCTGGCCACTGATGACCAAGCCAATAGTTTCTCACTGCAAGATGTTTATAGTCTCATGGGAAAGACAGATATGAAGTATGTAATTAAAACAAAATATGCTTATTGCAGGGAGCTGTGAGAGCAAATAGTAGAGGAACCCAACCTGGTCTCCCTGGGGCAGTGATGTTTCAGCTGAGTCCTGAGCTTATGCGAAGGGCCACAGACAAGACGGAACATGGTGAGTTCCAGGTGGATGAAGCTGGGCTGTGAAAAGTGAGAAGAGCACAGAGGTGCCGTGAGGCTCGTAGTGGTGGTGGTGGGGGGTTGTCCTGAAGGCCTCACACGTGATCCACAAGAGATTCAGCAATGGGGGGCCTGGCCGGGGAAAACAAAATGGTCTCAAACAGCATTTTAATGGGATTTGAGAGGAGCAAGGTGAAAAGGTAAAGTGAAGTAGACCTCAATGTGCACAGAGCGTCAAATCTGTCCCTGTGAGAACTGGCTAACTCCAAACAAACAAGAAAGAAGTTATCACAGAGGGTGCAAATGAAACTATTTCTTGGGATCCACTCAGTACTAGGAACATACTGAACTCATTCCTGCCTCAGCATTTTCACCCACGACGTTCCCCTCACTGGAAATGTTCTTTTCACCCACCCAAAGCTACCCACCCTTCCTCAGCACGGTTGCAGCCCACCTCTTCTGGAGAACCTCCTCAGCGGTTCCTTCTGTCCTGTGTCTGCTGATCTCTTCCTTTGATCTCCTAAAGCACTAAGGTACACAGCACACAATTAATGTTCTACTTTCTTAAATAAACTGACACCTTGTTACCCTAAGCAGAATGTCCTCTCCTTGCAAACAAGGACCCCACGTCCCACCTACCCTCTCCCTACCTACCTAGAAAAGGGATCAGAATATATCAGGGTCTTCCAGAATGGACCAACTGATTTAGGTTCAGATTATTAAATATACTACAATGATACTTGGCAATCTTAGAAGGACTCTTTACGGAGTCTTACTTTATACATGAGGACATCTAAGCATATGCAGGTCATCAGGGAAAGCCAGGTGGAAGAACTAAACTTTAGAGTTATTGTCAAGCTATAATTTAGAGTAAACTCAAGCAAAAAGTAAAAAAACAAAAATCCGTGTAAAATGGCTGAGCACTTATGAAGAACAAAGGCAGAATACCCAAAATTTAAAGGCATATTTCCAATATAGCCCCAAATTAGGCAATTGCCACAAGAATATGCAGTAGAACCTGAAAACTAAAATTCAGTAAAGTTTGGCCAACTATACAAACAACTCCAAACCTCAGTATGGTCAGTACTGACATCTAAGTAAGATGCAGAAACAGCTCTATTTCTAGAGGACGATGTCATTAGCATCTCTTTCTGCGGTTGTTATGGAGAACAATATGAACAGTTTCAATAATGATTACTTCATTCATGTATTTTCCCAGTGCTTTTTCATCAGTTCTCAAGGAGCCCTGAATGGATCAACATAAAATAGGGTCCTATCTCGGCTCCAGTTCAAAAATCTCAGTGCATTTCAGTAAACTATGTTTTGTGAAGTGAGTTAAGAAAGATGATGTTTTACTGAGGCCTTATTGGGGAAAAACAATAACGAATGGGCTTCGCTGCTGGTCTCCGTCAAGCAGTTTGTCAGGCTGTTACAATCGGCTCAGACATAGAAGTTACGGGCGCTCTCTGTCGCCTGTGACGTGCGGCACTGAGCCCAAGGTTGTTTGGTTTATCAGCTACAATGTGGTGGGGACACCAGTCACACAGCTCGGTTAGAGGTGTGCCAGCATTTCTGTTCTCGGTCCTTATATTTGAGAGTTTGTAAAACTAATCACGGAATGAATCTTCGCATATAAAAGCTACTTCCTAGACAAGTTTTTAAAAAATACAGATTAAAAAGTTCCATATGCTTTGCCATTCTTGTTACTTATAGGCCCCCCTGAAATATATCAGCACATCCTTTCCTCTTCGTTACTTTTCTTCCTTCTCTAAAAAAAATGTGTATTTCAAGGCTTTTGGGTCTTTTTTTAACCTGACTTGTCCATAAAGGTTATCACATGGAATGAAAAGAATTAAGTCCTTTTGTGCTGTACAGAAATAGTTCCCCTCAGATCACTATGGGAGGAGGGAAGGTTGGCTAACATTGAAATCTCAAGTTTGAGTTCAGGATTGTCGTTTTTTAGTGTAAATGAGATGCTAGTATGTATACTATGCAGTTAGATGCTCTCTCTATCTTCTCGAAAGATCTTTAAAATTTCAGGTACCGAACAACTGTGAGATCAAAGATTCAATCTAGCTTTTTCCTTGCAACTCCAGTAACAGGTACGCACTGGCGGCCAACTGTGCTCCAGATGCTTTATGAATATTCACCCCAAGGCTACGAAAAGGCATGACTGCCTTAGTTTTATAAGTGAGGAAGCCAAAACTCGGACCAGTGAAGTGACTTGCGAGAGGTCACACAGTGAAATGGGAACAAAAACCCAGGCCCAAGGGTAGAGGTTAAATTTGGGGGTTCCCATGTAATCATAACAGAGGTTGAGTCCAGCTAAAAAGCATCAGTACTTAAGTGAAACAAACTACTTCCAGTTAGATGAACTCTAAGGGGCCTAATTCCGCTGACACACAGTAGGTGTTTGAGTGGCAACTGCTAGGACTCCGCAGGGCTGGGCTTATGTTGAAAAATATATGTATAATTGGCCCCTCCATTTAACATACTCATTTTTGACCACATTGTGGAAATTTGTCAATTTCCCTAGTTGCCTTCAATTCATTAACAAAGTTTACTGTGAGCGTTAACTGGTTATGGGGGCTAGCAGGAAGCACCGACTCAAAGCTAGATGTGCTCTTGCTCTCAGAGGACCACACCCCAGACCCGACCGACGCTGGGCCCAGCGGGGCGCGTTACCTCCGGTGAGCATGTGATGTCCACGTAGCCTGAACGTGTCGTCAAACAGTTGCTAGTTATTACAGTTTCATTCTCATCAGATCTACTCCCCATATTTAGCAGTCAAAGTCCAGTGTTCATATTTTGCAAACATAACTTTTCTTTCTCCTGATTTATAACTGTCATTGGAGGAGGAAGGGAAAAAAAAACCCAGAGGAAGAAACAGGAGAAAGGAGGGAGAAGAGGGACGTGATACATGTTAAAAGCATTGTTAACACAATCAGTGGCCAAAGGGGATCTAAGATGCTCAGATACCCAAAATCTGTTACCATCTTTCTTCTTTTTCAATAGTGTATCTATTTTTATCATAAACCCAGCAGGCAAAGACCAAGTCGGCATCACCATTGGGCATGGAGCCTGCTGCAATATTGATGATATATCAACCATTATTATAAGTTGCCTTGTTATCATTATGTGAATGTTATTTTATAAACTTTAATAAGTTGCTTGAATATTTAAGATGAATGGCTTAGAAGTCTAAATTCGTATTCATGCCAAATATGTTGGACATATTTTTCATAACTGTTCTTGTCTCTTGAGCCAGTAATAGTTTATAATCATCATAAAATTTAATTCCTAGTTCCTTTTATCAGAAGGAAAATATGAATGGTTATTATCCAATTAAAATACTCCCGATGCTTTAAAGGTAGACATGGGGTCTGGGGGGTTTCATTGAAGACAATTTCAAAAAGAAAGAGCAGCTGCGTGACTTCAAAGAACTTGTAAGTGCTCCGAGTTTGCGGAGATGCTCAGCTGTTCGGTACTGTTTCCAACTGTCTCGTTCTCATCTCTTCTGTGATGTAATCAAGGGAATATTGGAAGATATTCCCAGTGTGAAAGGTGCAGGAGCGTGTGACCAGGGATAGAATTTTCATTTGGTAACTACAGCATCTGTTCTTATGCTTTCACATACTTGGCTTAGAATTGCCAAGGGCAGGGACCAGGAAGATCCCTGAGCACCTGGGGGAAATGCATGTATCTGGGTCTCCCTCCTCGGCTGGACAGTGCCACTTGCTTTGTGAGCAACACGGGCGGTGTGTCCTTCAGGTGGAAGCTTTGAAGGTGGTATGTTTTTTTCCTAGATGATTTCCATGCTACTAGCCAGAAAGCAACCCAGGAGGGCAGACTCAGTCACAGTGGCTACAATTTCTTCTAGAGAAACTGGATGGATCAAAGTGATTAATATCCACAAAAAGAAAATGCCAAGTCATCCAAATTGCATTCCAATTCATTACAAAGGAATCACATGCAGAATTTAGCTCCATACCCCTCCTTTGGCATGCTCTATTTCTGTCTACTTTCTTTTCTATTTGATCATGATCTTATTTGATTGTGACCTTAAACCAGACCTGTTTTGAAATCTATTTTCATCTCCCCCCCAGCATGTATCAGAATATTTTAATCTCATGAACACATGAGTCTAGTTCTCTGAAAAGGGCCCTCCCAAACTCATAAACTTCTAAATGTTTACTTAATACTAAGATGAAAAATGGTCTTAGGGATGAAAGATGCCTAATTTGTGCCGAGGCTTTCAAACTATTAGTAAACCTCTTTGAAAGAGAAGCGTCTTTGCAGTGATTAGTTGGTGAATGGGCTAAAGGCTAAAAGGCAAGTAGATTTAATTTTTTTTTGTAGAATGTGTTTGTGTTGACAAAGAGGTTTGGCACATGTTGCATTATTTGGTAAAAATAAGCACACTACAGTTCCTAGAAATAATCCACAGTTGTAACCTAACATACTGCTCATTTGCAAATGACATTTCACTAGAAACAGGCAAGTTTTCACTAGAAATACTTAACTGTAGGATCCATGTCATAAAAAGTGACGCAATAGGATGCCCTCTTAAGTAAAAATTAAACAAGTTTTGGAAGCACATTGAAATGCGGCTCATCCCTTCCCTGGGTCTCACCACCAGGGCACGTCTGGCCTCCGCGGTTGTGTTTTGCATGAGCATGCGCCAGTTACTCGGGTTCTCAAAAGCTCTGCGTGTTGATATATGGCTCCTCCTCAGGAAAGCTTACCTCTCTGTGGCTTCCCCTAGGTGAGTGTGTGGCTCCAGGCTCTTCTTGGAGGCTCTGACCTAGAGGAACGAAGCCCGGAGCATGGGATTTGCAGGCGCCGACTCGTAAGGCAAGTCCCACAGCTGCAGGTACCTCGGCCTCCGTGAGCTGGGAAACTTGAGCCAGGAAACATGGAGTCACGAAGTCTTTCAAAGTAGGAACAGAGCCCCAACTTTTAAGGAGGCCATCCAAACAGGTGACAAACTGCTGGACTTCAAAGACAGGAAATCCCTTCAAACGTTAAATTGTACGGACACAAAATGACCTACATTCAGGCAAACGGGGAGCCAGGAATTCAGCGTTATGTTTGTTCCAGTTTAATGAACCGTGTTTTGTGGATATTAACTGGTCCTAAAGATTCCTACTCTAAGTAGATGGCAGGCTTTTCCACCAGAAACCCACGTTTTCAAGGTCTTACTTTGAAAAGTCACTGGAGTTCACACAGCCTTACTATGCACTGGCCTCTCTGGGGCCAGTTTTCACCCTTATAATTAGCCTGGTTTAAAATTGCAATTATGGTGTGTAAAAAAACTCTATGAAAATATTTTAATGTCCTCCTGAATATCAAAACTAAGGGGAAGGCATCCACTTACAGTATAGCCTTGAAATATGAACCGATGGATTGCTTCAGGTTTGAAAGACAGTCTGGAAGCTTCCCAGTGTCAAGGCAGAGAATTCCCCAACTGCTTTTTTCCAGTTCAGAATACAAAGTCTAGACAGATTTCTT